AAGACAAACCTAGGACTCCTCACTCTGAAAGGCTGGCCAGAGGCCACCAGCATTTACCTCCTCAAGAACCTCAAACAAAGTGTTGGAACCCCGTGCCCAGAGATGAGATCACCTGGGACCTGGACGTCAGCATTCTGAAAAGAACCCAATAGGACTCCAATGCCAGCCAGAGCTGAGATCTTCTATACCAACTCTGGGAATTGGAAGTATCATCCTTTAGGGACCTTGAGGTTAAGGTGAGGAATGATGAGCAGGTCACAGTGTTTTGAAGCTGATTTTCCCAGAAAAGCACTGGGCATCAATGCCAGATGGGATATGCATGGCAGAGTGTTGGGTATAGGCAGGGAGGTCCCATTCTCTGGAAGAGGTGAGTCTATGTCCAAATGGCTTTGGCTGCATCTGATTTCACCATCATTAGAATATTACATAGAAATGAACTCAACCCCACACTTAGCAATGATAAACACGTGTTTTTGATGTGTGAATGTGTGAATTTTCAAACGGGGAGAGACTACCAAGCCCAAAAGGAGTGTCTTTATTAGGAGCATGGGAAATGTGAAAAATACTGAATCTGAGGTAATGAGTCCTTGAGTCCACCTTGTACCCTTCCTAATAGGGAAATTCTGTCCCTTAGGCTCTCTGATCCTCCAAGACCTCCTTGGTAAAGGGTGGTGAGGGTGACACCTTTCTCAGAGGGTCTTGATGAAGATGAGATGAAATCATGGATGTGACGGTCACTTCCACATTAGATGCCAAGTGAACAGTGGCTTCTCTCTTTCCCCTCACGGAGACATCCCCTGGTGTACAGTGCTGTGGGTCCCAGTCGCCTCCAACGGGCCTCCAGCTGGTACCAGTCCAGGCCTAGAGCATGGTGGTGGAGAACCCGGTCCCTGGAGAGACACTGCCTGGCCACTTACCAAGCCCGAGACCCGGGGCAGGTTAATTAAACACGGTAGCTTCGTTTCCACATATGTAACTTGGAGATAAGAGTAGCTACCCCATGGGGCTGGCATGTGGACTTCACTGGTTAAAATCTGTAAATATAAATGATCCCTTCCTTTTTTCCTTCCAAGAAGGGAAGACACCAGGAAAGAAGCAAGCTGAGCAACACTTTCAAGGGAACCAGGCAGGCCCAGAGAGGAGCAGAGAAACACATGAGGGGAGGGCGACAGACAATGAGAACCCTTGATCAAGCCCACTGTGCCCCGGAGAGACCCAGCACTCTCATCCGGGACTCTGCCTGGGCTTCTAACAGCCACCATCTGTGAAGCCTGCACCTCCCCAGCTGCCCCCCTGGGATAAAATGACAGGAGAGCCGCTGCCCGAGGCAGGCACCTTGGACACTCCACGCTGGAGTCCAGTCTCCCTGGCTTCGACTGCTTCTCCCTGTGATTTCACTTCTCCTTGTGACCCCGATGCTGCTGTCGTTTTTATATTCATTTTTCCAGGCTTGGAGCGGATACTGTAAAGTGTGCCACTCAGAAGAAAGGCTGAATATTTCATTGTAACAACTGTAACTCAGGAGGACAGCGGGCCTGGAGGGGGTTCTGTAGAGGGACTGATGGCCTCAACCTCAGGGAGTCTGCCGGGGTCTGACACTGGACATATGGGTAGGCATGGAGGTGACTCTAGAGCAACAGGGGAGTGGGGGAGGAGCCTCACAGAGGAAGAAGTAAGGCCAAAGCTAAAAAGTCAAGTCAAAATTACTAAAGAGGAAAAACTGAAAAATACAAAAAGAGGACCAAAAGGCAAAACAGCCAGGAAGGGAAAATATATAAGAGCAAGAAAGAGAAGTGCCACTTCTGTCTGAGTCTCGTGAAGGGACGCTCAGGGTTAGAGTCCCCATGTTCACAGCTCCCTCGGTACACACACACCCTGATGTCAGATGAACCCCAGCTCCCTGGATGCCTTGGAGGAAAGGGCCTGGTGTGCAGGCTGAATTCATCATGTCCCTCTGTCCCTCCGGAACAGCTGACTCTAGGGCCCACCTCCCCTTGGAACTGGAAGTGGCGAGTGCTGTTTTGGTTTCTCTGGGAAATAAGTTGGCCCTTGGATACCTTCTTTGGATACAGCAAGCTGATGATCCCAGCTTCTCTGCCCCACAGAAGCCAGGGTTCCTGGCAGACATCCGACTGCCCTTTGGATGGAACTCACACCTGTGGCTCAGGGCTGCCTATACTCAGTAAGAAACAAAATAAACTTTGCTTAAGCAAAGTTACAAGGTTTCTTTGTTTCAGGTCTTCTCAGAGCCTTGCATAAGCTAGCATGCCCTGTGACACAGGAAATGGGCTGCAGGGGGCGCACACTGGAACCACAGAATGCTTTTAGGTTTTTTTTTTTTTTTTTTTTTTTTTTTTTTAATCTCAGAACAACTATTCACATCTCAAGGACACTGGCTTTGAGGCCAGTGGGTGGGCAGCCTAATCTACACATAAAGACACCAGCTGAACTTGGTCACTATGCAAATCTCCCAAGGTCCTTCCTTCCCTTCAGCTATCTGTACTCATCATGTTACTCACCAAACACAGGTAATTAAAATTTGGTCATCTGTGAGATCCTTCCCGTGGCTTATATGTGACTTAACTGTCTGCCCATCTCAGTAAAACTCCTACTGCCAAGCTCTGACACAAAAAAGAACCAGAAGGTCATGTTGCATAGGTATTGGTCCTTTTAGAAGGAACACTGAAGATGATGGGCCCTGGTAAAGCAAGGAGAAAGAAAAGGCAGAGGCGACTTCCCCGACTGGCGGCCAAGGGGAGAAGCAAGCTAAAGTCATTCTCATAACACAGGTGATTATCCCACCTTACCTCACAGATAAGAAAACCAAAGCCCAGGGAAGCTAAGCAACTTAACAGGTCCCTCACCTGGCAAATGATGAAGCTAGGATCTACACTTGGGCTGGCCCTACATTGAATCTCATTCTCTTGTACGATGTCCTGCTGTATCTCCTTTATGCTAGGTAGGTCCTGCTCTGAATGAAGAGACTGGGGGGGACATAGTTTAAAAATTCATCAGTCTTAGCTTTTAAGGTATTTATGGTCCAGCAAGAGAGGAAATCAATGTATTCAATTAATGACAGAACAAAGAAAAAAGGAAAGAGGGAGGAGGGGACATCTAGCTCAGGGCAGGGGAAGGCTGCGTGGAGGGCCTGCATTTGTGCTGGGACTTAAAGGACAGAAGGGTTTCTGTGGCCCAAGTGGCAAAGGGGGGGTCTTGTGAATGGAAGGAGCATTGCAAACAAAGACCCAGAGGTGGGAAAGGGAAGTGGCTTCAGGGACTCCAGGGGCTCCTTTGCAGGTGATAGAGGGGCGTGAAGTGAGACTTGACAGAGATGGCCAGGAGGAGGCTCTAGCCGGAAGCAGCCGTGAAACCTCCAACACAGCAGTTTTTCAGGAGTATGGTAAGTGGTTTCGAGACAGTGGGCTTTAGAATGGCATGTAGCTGCATTTTATCAGAGCTGTGTTGACACATGTCTGGTCCAATAAATTAACATTTCCATCTTAGCTGACTTCATTTGGCAGGAGCAATAAATTCACATGGCAATTCATACGGCAAAGTGGAACGGTGCAGGGAGGGCAAGGGGATGGGGTAGGCTAGGAGAGTCATTCACGATTCATCAAATTGTTTTCACTCATTCATTCATTCGTCAAAAACATCAGGGAGGCCCAAGAGCTCACTGGTTTCTGAAGCTGGTTTCTGAATTATCTTTTTACTGGCCTGCTTGTTTACACTCTAAATGTCACCTGGATTTTAAGTTGTTACATTTGGACAGAACCATGTGTTTCAGAGTCTTTTCTCAGCTGTCTCTTCTTAGTTGTCCCACAATACTGTCCTGTAGGACAGATCCATTGGTATGTACTCAACAGATCAATAAAACTAGATTCAGATGCTGGATTTTCCTCCAATACAATAGGTTGAAAATTCATTAAACCCATTGTATAGACCTCTGCTAAATATCTATTTATTTGCATATTGATTCAAGAAAAGGTAAAATGATTTATTGAGCCTTTACTATTGGCTGGAAATGGCTGAATCAAGCAGAGATGGGATCAGAATTCAAGTCCCCTTACACGCAGCTCAGTGCTCTTTCCTCCAGGCTCTGAAGGAAATGTACAACAGAGCTGCCCAGGACCAACAGGGCTGCAGGTAGCGTGCTTGATCCATGGCTGTGCTCTGGGTGTGTACGTGTGTCTGGCTCCAAGAGGCCCAGGCTGAGGCAGCCACATCTGCTGGACACTGCCTCTTGTCCTCAGGATCCTAAAAGATATGGCACTTAAATGCAGTACATCACCACAAACCTCACTGCTTGACACCAGTTTCTCTAAGAAACCTGCTGAGAGGTGACAACACCAAGTAGAGGCGGCCCCCTGGAGTGTGTGCTGCTGCTACCACGCATCATGCATCACGCCTGCTCAGAGGCCTGCTTCCCAGCCCTTGCAGGGGCTCCGCTTCCAAGCTGTTTTTCCCAGTGCCACAACCAAGGACTAGGGCAGCAGAACCTTGTCCCCTGATGTCTCTGAGGGCAATGAAGAATCCTTTAGGGAGGAAATGCCATTTAAACATCTAAAGATAAATGCCAGGAAATGCTGGTGTGTGTCTGTCTCCAGGATGCCAGGCTCTGATGGAGGTTGGTGTAGAAGCCACAGAGCCTTCTTTGCCTTCTGGCCCAGCCCCTGAGAACAACATGGAAGGATCCCTGGGTTCCCCTGGGCTGGATTAGACTGGAGAATAGGGCACGGTGATGCTGGGGCAATGACAGCGCCTGGCTGTCATGGCTGGTTTGACATACCCCACCCAGGCTCCGGGCTCATCTTGCCTGCAAAGCCTGCCTTGCTGCAGAGCTGGCTATGTGGAGATGGCCCCGGGAAAGAGCTGGTATTAGGATGAGACAGCTGTTAAACACCTAGGCTCTGAGCATATCCTGAGACAAAGAGATCCAACCTGGGGCTGAGGTTCCCCCGCAGTACATCAGGGAAGGTAGCCATCATTCCACTGGGCATCCCCTCTTCACTATCACCTTTCATGGTATCTCTGCTAGCTTTGGGACCTGGAGCAAGTTACTTCACCTCTCTGAGCCTTGGCTTCTGAATTTGTGAAATAGAATAAAAATCACAATAAGACCATAGTGATACCTACATTTCACAGTTCTATTTCACAGTTCTATGGAGTTTAAAGGAGACCATCGTTGCCAGGCTGGATTCATCTGGGACACCCCAGGGTGAGTTACACAGCTTATTTGTCTGTTGTCTGTTCTGACTGGTTAGCAAGCATTTCAAACTTGTTATAGATTTTATTATGTGTAAAATAATGAATGTATAAAATATTGAATGGATGTTGAATGTATGCCATCATAAAAATAATTAATTAAAATAATCAGTGTATGACAAGCCTTTAATGCACGGTGGTCACTGTTACTCCAGATGGAGAAAAAAAGACACAAAAAGGTTTTATAATAAGGACAAGGACCCTCGGAAGGAGGAAGAGAGCTCAGATTCTCTGACTCCTGCCTCTTTCTTCTCTCCCACCTACATCTACAATGTACGGCTTGTCTGCCAGGTCAGGGGGGCCGCCTCCTGGAGTAGGCGCTTGCTCAGATTCCTTGCTAATGGGTGAAGCTGACATGGGCTGGGCGGGGCTGGGCCAGGCACCCAAACACCCCAACCCCCGGGGGCCCTGCTTAGAGGTACAGTCCCCGTTGGCTGCACAGGGGAGGCATGGGTATTTGCCCCTTAAGCTGAGTTCTTAGGGAACTAACTCTCAGTGGGCCCACCTTCCCGCAGAGGCTCAGGGAGACCTGCAGAGAAGAGGAGGAGGAGGACAACGAACAGGGGTGGAGGATCCCTGCCTGTGAAGCTGCTTTTCCTGCAAGACCTGCAGAGTCTGCCACAGCAGCAGACAGCCTGGGAGGCCATGCAGCTGAAGGAACATGGAGGATGAGCAGGTGGGCATGGAGGGCCTGGGGCAAGATGGCTCTGCCCCCCACCCAAAGGCTTTTCTAGCTCCCAATGAAAACTCCAAAGGACACTAAAGGATCTTCCCCTCTCCTGGCCCCCATGCCTTCTGCAGACTCCCCAGATAAAAAAAACCCAGACACCCCAGTTCCTTCAGGTGGCTTCAGAAGGCAGGTGTGCCTCGGTCTGCCACACTCTCCTCACTGAGGCACAAGGGAAGGGTGTACAGGAGGGAGCTGCAGCAGGGCCGACCAGCGGCTGCTTGGTGAGTGCCCTCTGCCCCGCAGTCAGGGGCTCTGCAACCTCATTCTCATTGGAATTCATCTCAGCAAGCTCAGGACCTCTGGGGCCATTGGCTTGAAAGGTGAAAGGCACTGCTGGCTTCTGAAGCAGCTGGGAGGCCCCAGCTGGGGGCTCCTGGCTGCCTTCAGGGACTTCTGCAAGCCCCAGGGCCAGAAGTTAGGCCTGGGAAGGAGCATCCCCCACTTCTCTGTTCCTCAAGGCTCTCAATGGTTCTGATCACACAGCTTGCCAAGATCTTCTAGTCCTCAGAAGGAACAGGGCTTCTGCAGTCATTATCTACCACTTATATCCAGCAAAAACAGTAGCATCATATACTGGGGTACCATTATACTGGGGTCTCCAGTCCCGCATTTCCTGATGCTAAACAGTCCTCACAAGTGCCTTGTCCCCTAAGGTCCCAGGTGCTCGGACTTGCCTGTGACTTGTGAGATCTTTCTTTGCAAAATAATCCAGAGAAAGGTCTTCTTTCATGCCCATCTTGCTAACAGTTCTCCAGGGGTGGGGAGCTGGTACTGGGGATGGGGAGTCTATTCCTTCTTCTCCTCATCTCAAGTGGTGGTCATTCCTGACATCCCATAGTTTTGGAGGTTGGGAAGAGGTGAGCTTTGTTGAGGAAAGTTGGAAGCACCCAATGCACACAGCTAGGGAAGTCTGGGGGGGTATCATCATGGTAGGACTTATGCTGACCAGATCCTTCCCAGTAGGACAGAGCAGGACTGTGGAGAGTGACAGAGCCTGCCAGTCATATAGAAGAGGAAGGCAAAAAATCCATGTCTTAGTAGAAGGCAGCAAGAAGAAACAAAGGACAGGGGAACAACATAATTAGAGCTACCTCCTGGAACACACACACACACACACACATGCACACACACACACACACACACACACACACACACACACACAGTCCAGATATTTTTTACTCCAGGCATATTTTTCTCACTCACTTTAAATATTTGGCTTTGGCTTGCTTTGCACAAAGGGATCCATAGAAATCATCACCCTTTGGAAATCAAAAACTATCCTGCATCAAGTTCCCAGCAGGTTTTCTTGAAAAACTCTTAAGGCAAAGAGCAGGCATGGGACATGGTAGGCCAGGTCCATAATGCCCTATGATGCTGTGGATGATGGGAGGTCAGGGTCTTTTTTTTTTTTTTCAAGAAAATGGGTGGTGAAGCGGCTACGTTGGACTGCACAATGAGTTAGGTTTGCGATCAATCACCAAGGGCAGGATGACTGGCCAAGCCATGCTGCCCCAGAGAATGACCCTGTCCCTCTAGCAGATTTTAATAAGAACGGGAGGCACAATCCCACCATCCTAGGCTGGCAGCTAAAAACAACCCAGAGTCTGTGAGAGGAAGAAGCTGCCAGCTTGCTGAGGCCCCGGCGGCTGACAGGTGAGGATGATTCATCCCCACCCCAATAGAAAATTCTCCTCTGTTTGCATTCCTGTCTCCCTGCGCCATCCTGCTCATCTATCTCTCCATTCCACTAGTTCTCCCTTGTGCTCTTCCTGCCCCGTTTTCTCTGTAGCCTTGCTCTCCTGCTCCCCTGCCCTGACAGGGATTCTCTGCATCAAGATGGCAGGCCCTGTATTTGCTCCTCTTTTTTTGAATTTGGCATGAAAGCCCAGGGAGGGAGGGAGAGAGCACAGGTGAGCACTTCCACCCCAGGGAGGGAAGAGCAGAAGGGGCCTGCAGGGATCCTGAAAGAAAGAGGCAAAAGACAAAAAGAGGACCTGCGGTGAAGTCACCTAACTTCAAGGGGAAATCACACAAAAATCACTGATGACTTGGGTATTGCTCCAAGCACAACAGTCAATGAGAATTAAAAACAATAGGTACAGCTAAAAGTCTCAATGACGATTCATAGAAGTCTCAATGATGATTCTGTGCATACTGTCCACCACTGCTGGCTCATATCCACTAGCGGATGGTCATCAAGGAAATCAGACCACGATGACACCTCTGCCTTCCCTCTCCTGGTCTGATTGTGTCGTTGACTTCACTGGGTGAGAACATAAAGACGGTGGAAACAGGAAGGGTCCCCAGGGATGAGCTGGTTCTACTTCTCCCATTTTAATGATGAGGAATCTGAGGGAATGAAATGAAGTGAAATGGAAAAACTAGGACTAGAACCCAAATATCGTACTTCACAGCCTGTTGCTTTGACTGCCATATGGAGTGTGTCATCTAGGGAGTGTTTTAAAAATCAGCAATGACCAAGAGGTGCAGAGGACAAATCCAACATTCAATCACATATAATAATAAGAGTAGGAAAGGGGCGAGTTGAAGAAACCAATGATTAGGACGAGAACAGAAGTGTCAGCACAAGTAGAAGAAACTAATTTCATGATTGTGGATGGGCACAAGTGAAATATACCTAGAATGCTCGTGATTGAAACGTGGGCACAAGAGATGTCCAGGAATGAAGTGTTTAGGTGGATGGCAATATGCTACTTATTTGATGCTGTAACTGTGGCTCTGGAAATGTTTGGAAACCTTAACATAAGATTTTAGAAGTAAGAGCCTTTGTCCATGAAAACTGTAATTTTTTTTTTCAGGTATGAGTTGTGTGTGCTAAATTGGAAAGAATGAGACTCTGCTAGCAAAATGAAACGAAACACAAACAGAATTCTCATAGAAAATAAAGCAGCTTGGAGACATGCTTCTGGAAATGTGAAGCAGACATATTTCCCGCGATTCCTCCCACTAAGTGCAACTAAAACTCCTGAACATTAGATAAAAAAAAAATAAACACAAATGGCTAGGGGTGTAGCTCCGTGGTAGAGCACTTAAAGTGTTTAGCGTGTGCAAGGTCCCTAGTTCGATCCCCAGCAATGCAAAATAACAAAAAATATTAAAGAGACTCTACAGATGGACAGAAGGAAGATGACTGGTTGGCTAGGAACCTCAGAAGCTGAGGAAGGACATAGTGTTACATTCCCTGAGCTTCTGGGCAGCCAAGTCACACTAGAGGGTACAGAGAGAAAAAATGAAGCCCAATTAAAGTAGCTTCTTTAGTCAAAGGGCCAGAAAAGAGAAAATCTATTAAGACAGAAACTTTTTATGAAAATCATGGTAAAACATGCATAACAAAATGTACTGCTATAGTTTGATCTTGAACGTCCCCCGAATACCCTTGTCTTGAAGGCTTGGAGCCAAGGAGCTATCCTGCTCATCCGTCTCCCCATTCCACTAGTTCTCCCTTGTGCTCTTCCTGCCCCGTTTTCTGTGTAGCCTTGCTCTCCAGCTCCCCTGCCCTGACAGGAATTCAGGAGCTATGGGGAGGTGGTGGAACCTTCAGGAAGTGGGGCCTTGTAGGAAGAAGTTAGGTTATTGGGGGTGTGCCCATGAAGAGTACATGGGACTCTAGCCCTTTTCTTCTCTCTCCCTCTCTCTCTCTGATTTCTGTACATTACAAGGTGCACAGGCCTCTACCACCCTGTGCTCCCACCATGATGTATTGTGCTGCCACAGGTCCAAAGCAACAAGGTCAAGTGACCGAGGTCTGAAATCTGTGAAACTGGGAGCCAAAATAAACCTTTCCCTCTTGTAAGCTGCTTATTGCTGGTATTTTGTCACAGTAACATAAAGCTAACCAACACATTTACCATTAGCCATTTTTAAGTGCATTGTTATGACAGTAAGTACATTCACTCTATTGTACAATCATCACTATTCATCTCCCAAGGCTTTTTATCATCCCAAACTGAAACTTTGTACCCATTAAATAATAACTCCTTTTTACCTTCTCTTCTCCAGCCCCTAATAACCACTATTATATTCTCAGGCTCTATGCATTTAATTATTCTTAATACCTCACATAAATGGAATCGGACAGTATTTGTCATTTTGTGTCTGGCTTATTTCACTTAGCAGAATATTTTCAAGATTTATCCATGATGCAGCATATGTCAGAATCTCCTTCCTTTAAAGGCTAAATAATAGTCCATTGTCACATTTTGTTTTTCCATCACTCATCAATAAAACTGATGGACATTTGGGTTGTGCCTGCTTTATAGATATAATAAATAATGCTGCTCTGGACATGGTTGTACCAATAGTTCAACTCTCTGCTTTCAATTCTTTTGCATATACACCTAGAAGTGGAATTATAAGGTAATGCTGTTTAATTTTCTGAGGATAGGCCATACTGTTTTTCCATAGAGGCTACACTGTTTTATATTCCTGCCAGCAATGCACAAGGGTTCTGATTCCTGTGCATCCTCTCCAGCACTGACTCTTTTCTGTTCTTTGGTAACAGGCATCCTAACAGGTATGAAGTATTGTCTCAGTCAGTGTTGTTTTTATTTACATTTCTTTAATGACTTATAACATTAAGCATCTTTGCATGTGCTTTTGAGCCATTTGTATATCTTCTTTGGATAAGTATCTCTTAAGTCATTTGCCTATTTTTATTTACATTAGTTTATTCATTCATTCATTGACTTATTTTTCTCAGCAGTACTAGGGATGGAATCCAGGGCTTTGCATGTGCTAGGCATGAAGTCCACCACTTAGCTACACACCTGTCCCTTTTCCTATTTTTAAGTAAAAATGGAAAACATTAGTCATCCTATTTCAGTCACATACCACAGGAGAAACTGTGACTCCATCCACCCTCACCTCCTCCAGCTCAGGCTGAGTGGGGAGTCTAGACTTTTATCTTTAACAAGCTAGAGCTCACTCAGCACCCTACCCCCCCTGCAGGGTGGTGTCAGGACAAGTGGGGAGCCAGAACATCTTCCCCATTGGGTGGTAATGAGGCTCCCCAGAATCTCCACCGACTCAGTGGAGGCCTCGTGAGTGAACTAGTGGAGAGTCAGGACTGTCGCCACTGTCCAGTGGTAATAAAGACTCTCAATCACTGTGGAGTCAGGGAAGCAGTAATGAGGCCCCGTCTCCTTCCCAGCCAGGGCAGTATCAGTAGAAGGCTAGCAGGGACCCTGAAGATCAGCCATAATGAAGGGCCCTGCCTTACTGAGTGTCAGCAGATGCCGAGTAGGGACCGGGATTTCCACCCTCACTGGGCAGTAACAAAGTGATGCATTCCTCTTTCTGCTGGGTCAAATGCAAAGAAAATCAGCAGACTTTAAATAATATCCAGAATCCTAAAACATAATACTCAGAATATTCAGGTTTCAATGGAAAATAAGTCATCATACCAAGAATTAGGAAAATGAGGAAAGGCAATTGACAGACACCAACACTAAGATGGCCCAGTTGTTAAAATTATCTGACAAGCATTTTAAAGCACTATCATAAAAATGATGCAACAAGTTATTATAAGAATGCTTGAAGCAAAGAAATAGGAGATATACACCTGGGTGTAGTGGTGCATGCCTGTAATCCCAGCTACTCCGAAAGCTGAGCCAGAAGGATTGCAAGTTCAAGTCCAGCCTGTGAAATTTAGCAAGATCCTGTTCCCTCAAAATAAAAAATGAAACAAGGGGAATGGAGCTCAGTGGCAGAGCGATCCTGGATGCAATACCAGTACTAAGAAAGAAAGGAAGGAAGGAGGGAGGGAGGGAGGGAGGGGAAAAAAAAGAAGGGATATTAAGGAGATTAAATGGAAATTTTAAAACTGCAAAATACATTAAAGAAAATTATAAAGCTCAGTGGATGGACTCAATAGGGGAGTGGAGACAAGAAAAGAAGGAATCACTAAACATGGAAAGAGAACAATAGAAATTACTGAGTGAGAACAACAGAGAGAAAATAGTCTTTAACAAGTGAGCTGAGTCCCAGAATCTTGCAGGATTATAACAAAAGATCTAACAACCACACCTTCAGAGCCCCAGAAGGAGAGGAGAATGAGGATGGAGCTAAAAAGTACTCAAAAAACAGTGGCTGAAGCAAGACATCGACCTACAGATTCAAGAAGCTGAGTGAACCCCAAAGAGGATAAACCCAAACAAATCAATACTAAGATACATCATTAGTCAAACCCCTGGAAACTAAAGCCAAACAAAAAAATCTCAAAGGAAAGTGAGAGAAGTGACTCCTACTTAGAGGAGAAACCAATTTGAACAACTCTTGATTTCTCATCAGAAACCCCGGATGTCAGGACAGTGGCTTAATGTGTTTCAGGTGCTGAATGGAAAGAACCATCAGCTCAGATTCTATATCCAGTGGAAATATCCTTCATGAATGAAGAAAAATAAAGGCATTTACAGAGATGAAGAAAAACTAAGGGAATTTGTTGCCCACAGATTTACCCTAAAAGAATGGCTAAAGGAGTTTCTCTAAGCAGAAAGGATACAATATATTTTCTGTCTCCTCTTGAGTTTTTAAAATCATGTTTGAAGGTCGAAGTAAAATTCATGACTCTGACGTGTTTCTCATGCATGTGGAGAATATCTAAGGAAATTATATTATAATTGGGGGAGGGTACAAGGGGATAAAATATCTACACCTCATTTGAACTGGGAAAAAGTAATACCAGTAGACTGATAAATTATGTCTATATAATGTAATATTTAGAGCAACCACAAAGAGTTATACACACAGGCACACTCGAAAACCCTGGAGATAAATGAAAATGGAGTTCTGAAAAATGTTCAAGTAATCCACAGCAAGGCAAGAAAAGCCATTTATGTCACATTCTTGAAAGGACAAAATTATAGAGATGGAACACCAATTAGTTTTTACCAAGGGTCATGGGTGGAAGGGAGGTGGCAGGTGACACTGAGGAGGTAGCATAAGGTAGCATGTCCATGGCATGTGAATCTACATGTGACAAAGTGACAGTACCATACATGCACATACCAGGGGCAGTTTCCTGCTGATGATTGTATGCCACAGTTAAATGAGATGTAACCGCTGGAGGAAACAGGGTGAAGGGCACAGGGAACTCTGCACCGTCTTTGAAACTTCCTATGAATCCACAATTGTTTTAACATAGAAACTTTTGAAAACCAAAGTGACTTGGATCAGTAGAGCATATCACACTCCCTCCCCAAGTGTCCCTGATGTCTCTCAGAGAGTAGCTCAGTCCTCCTCCAAGAGATCCACACCAGAAAGCCTTGGTGGTCAGGTGGGGTGACAGAGGCAGGGAGTTCCCTCCACAAAATGAGCTAACCATTGTTTAATGCAATGTATTTATGGGAACATCTGTGCCAAGCAAATCGAGGGAAAACTGGGAATATGCACCACATGGATCCCTCCTTAAAAATCCAAGGGCTCTTCTTTTCCCTGGGTTCCCTCTCCGTCATTCGTGTCTGGCTCGTCACGAAGAAGAGCCACAAAAACACCAGCCATAAAGTGTAATCTTCCAAGGGAAACCTCAACTGCTTCATTTCTTCCCACGTTAACAAGCAATTCCCGGAAGCTGACAAGATAGATCATTTATCCTAACGTATATTTGTCCACTCCATCTTCTGGAACCAGAGTGCCTCATTTATCAGGTGTGTGTGTGGGGGGGGGGTGTTTCAGCCTTACTCCTCAGTTACAAGGGAAGGGTCCACGTGGAGAGGGGTGTGTCCAGGAAGCCAGAGCTCTGTAAGGACACAAGCCTTCCTCTTACCAGGAGATTAACTGTTGAAGATGCACAAGGCTGGTGTCACTGATTAATTGTGCCTTGAAAATACTGATAATAGATACACAGGGTCTACCCCCACCCCATGCAAAATGCCTCCTGAGTGACCCCTTGGGACTTCAGTGGAGTGCTCCTGAGAGAACAGCAGCCCCAAGGAAAGGCACATACAGAAGATCAGAACACGGAAAATGTCCTCAACCAGAAAGAGGGTGTCAGATGACCCCTGTGAACCCTGATGGTTAATATGAGGAAGGAGTGATAAGGACCTTCTTCAGAAGCTTGGGACTGCCATGTTTCCTGGGGTAGCTTAATTACTATCCTGGCTGCAGGCACGGGAGTGGACTAGTGGGAATTCTCGACCTTTCCCACAACACACCACACAGAGAAAGTGACGGCATTTTCCTGACATTCAAAGGGAAATGGATAAGGAGCTCATGGCTGCCCAGGAGTGACCAGCCCAGGGGAGCCCGTGTCCCAGGCCCTGCCTGGCTGCATGAAGCCCCAGGGTATGCTCTGGCACACCAGCCAGGGAATTCTGACCTGTGCGCTTCCAGAATCTTTTGAGCCTGAGAATGAAGCATTTCCCCCAGGTGAAATGGATAGCTCTGAGAAAGTCCCTGGGACAGCAGGGCACTGCAAAGGCCCACGTGACAATGCCAGTACCTACACACCACCATCCTCATTGTCTAGTGTCGGGGAAAGGCAAATGCTCCACGTGGCCCAGAGAGACGCCTACCTGGGACTGGCTCGGGGGTGGGAGGGGCCCTGCAGGTTGGGAGAGCAGTCTTCTCGTCTGCTATTTACCACTCTTGTCCTAATCATATAGTGTCAATGCATCTATAAATTATCTTGTCTCTCAGCAGCTGCCAGGAGTGATGAGAGCTGTCACTTAATCAAAAAAAGTTTAAATTAACTAAAGGGAAAGAAAAAGGAAAACAACCTTGGGATAGCAGCCCGGGCTGTGCAGAGTCGGCTGAGAGCGATGCCAATGTGGGAGTCGTGTGCCTGCAGCCCCCTGCCCCGCTCGCCAACCCCCACCTCCTCCACGTCCTCCCAGCACCATGCTCGGCCCTGCCTCCAGCACCACCGCTCTGCAGCCCACCCAGATGCAACCACGGACACAACCATGTGACCAAGACCCACAGCCCCAAAGGCGAGTCGCGTCTTCAGCCTGCGGTTTGAATCTACTTCACCTTGACTTTTGAGGAGATGAGATATTGGTCAGGGGGAATTAAGGGTGTTAAAAGCAGATTGACCTCTAGGAAATTTGGGGAAGATATCATTTGTCCCTTGTCT